AAAAAAAAAAAAAAAATGAGATACAAGACCTAATGTACGTTAGAGAGGATTCTTTTGGAAAAATGGAGAATATGTTTTTCAAAGAATCTACCCAACAGCATAAAGTAGTATCATTAAAACATCTAGACTCTAAAATATGCTCAACGGATTGTTAGATGGCCAAAATATAGTTTAGTTTATGTTAGATATAGACAACACAAAATTAGAATTTAAATATTAGGCATACATAGAATAATCAAGATTGCCTTAACTACCCATTATTTCTTTTAGAGTACTTTTCACCCAAAAAAATATCTCCATCAGCAACCAATAGACAATAATACCCCCATGCTTTGCACTCAATGCTGTTCATTATCTCAATAGTACAAAGGTTGCTCAAGAACTTCATGTCTCATATATCTTCGTAATATTTATGGACATCAGCAATACCCAAGTCATAAAAATCTGTGTTAGCAACATGTTGAAAGACAATACAAGGACTCTGAATGCTACAGCACCATACCTGCACAAGCTGATCATACACAGAATCATGACTAAATAATGTCTGAACATCTGTGCGAAAGCCTTCTATTTCAGTTTCCTCCAATTCATCAACCATGTTCAACGCCAAAATGCGTGTCTCTCCAACAAAGCTAATAACCAAGAAAGTATCATATGGATCATGAGTAGCTGATCCTAATGACCACATCCCCTTGATTCCTTCAAGCTTTACAGATGCCTATGAGGGACAGATATTATAAACATATCGTGCCAAATAATTTATAAGGAATGTGAAACTTAGCATCATACCTGCTCATTTATTCCAATTCCATTGCACACAATGCGTACAGAACCATGTTTATAGGCTCCTGAGCATGTCACAACCTGACATTGGCCTTGCTTCTCCAAGTTAACCACACAGAAGTCAACAATGGGCCCCAAATTGACATAAATTTCAAGAACTTCCACACAATAACCTTCTGCTTCCGGTTGAAGATTCAGCTTTAACAGCTGGGATATATAGTAAAATAAACAAAGTAATACAGGAATCACACCTAAATCAAATAACAAAACAAAAGGATAAGAAAATTCATAATAACAGTAACCATACTTCATAAAAATGAATAAATGAAGTGGAAATTTAAAAGTCAGGAGTCAAGAAATAAGAAAATATTTATTTACAAATTTACCAAAATAACAAATTTATACACAATTACTCTAGTAAATAAAGAAAAGCAAAAAGAAAAATACCCTGAAAAAAGAGAAACTGCATCATACAATGCATCTTGTCAAATGCATAGAGGTAAATAATATATAAAAAAAAAAAAAAGCAATTGGAATCGTCCAGTTTCCTTAGAAACGAGACCAAACAAATTGATGGAGCACTATTATCTCATGATCAAACTATTACCTCTGGTGACAACCTAAACACCAAGGAACAAAATATCATACAACTAAAGCAAAATTACTGCAAGAATAAAGAATTGTCTGCATAGCTGTGACTACACAATGTAGTTAATTGAAAAATAATAAACAATATAATGTGAGCACGTTTAGATTAATTATTAAGATGACTACATGATACAGACATGATAAGCTAATTAAGAATTTTGTTATCAATCAAATGACGGCAGCAATTTATACAAAGCTAAGACATAGGTAACAATGATACGTAAAATATGCATATGCAGCTATACTTCAAGTTCCTAAACTAGTTATAGAGAGACCGTACTATATTCCTTCATATCGGAATCCACATTGTTACAACTGCAATGTCGTAGCCAAAAAAAAAAAAAAAAAAGACATAAACCCAGTTCTCAGGAAAGATAGCTACAGTTGCTATCAAAAAGAGGAAATCAAAATTTCAAACCTGTGAGTCTCCATAACTTGAGCCTACAAAGATAACATCATCTTTAAGATACGATATTGACGATGCAATGGACGTTTCCCCCAAGAGTTTAATCTGGAGTCCAGTTACTCTGTGCAGATCACATATAGGAAAACCATTTAGCCAAGTTAAAGACACTGAGCATGTAAGCCTTGAATTCTATGAAATGAAAAGGCAGAGGACAACAAACCAACATTTCCATTTCATGAGTTATAACAAGTAGATGCAAGAGCCCATTACAATCCCCTAGCAAGTAGCGTGAACCATCAGCATCAACTCTTCCATAAGCTCTTGTAATTGACTTCACAGGTAAAACACAAAAGCAGGGTCGGCATCAGGATCAGAATAAGCTCACACACAATTAGCAAGAGATCTAAATAACTTACAGGTCCGAATGAGATTTCTTTGAGCGCAGAGGCACTGCAATAAAGGATAGTTTCACAGCTGACAATTAAGACGCCGCAAAGAGGCAGCGGAACTGGGATTAACAATTCTGCCCCATTGACATGATATTTATGAGACCAGCGTCCCTGAACAAGAACTTTATTTTCCAAATCAACCTCATATGTCTTCATACGACGAGCCCCTTTGTTATCCTGTTAGTCAATGTAATGTGTGATGGAAGTGGATGATAAAAAGAAAGGGAACAACAATATTAAAAACAAGAGCTAAAATAAGCAAAAAGTGTGTACTTGTGAACAACATATAAACCCCAAACGCTGAATCAATATGGTCAAGACATCATACATGGAAAGGAGATGGTACATAATATAAAGCATGTTAGAGAACTGTAGTTGAGAACATTACATTGAACCGTCTTAACAACACTAGTAAGTTGCTTGCAGAGAGTACATCATGAAAGTTAACCAAAATCTCTCTCTCTCTCTTTCTCTCTCTCTCTCTCTCTCTCTCTCTCATGTAACGCAAAAAAGTCACCTAAATAATGTCACAGATAAAAAAAAATTAGGACACCCAACATGGCTCTTTGTTACATTGAAAGACCACAAGGAGACAAAATGCACACTTGAAGGTCAAGAGACAATCACAGAATTAAATACCTGGTAAAGTACAGCAATGGTTGGCTTGGGGCAACCATACAAAAATTTTATATCCAAAACTTGAAGCTCCTCAAGCCTGAAGACACAACAAATTAACTAATATGTTAAATTAGAAGAGGACTAAAATGGGCTAATATCTAAGTGATTATATTCAGAAATCAGTCTACAATGAAAGGAGAATATTATGAGGTAAACATGAATATGATTAACCACAATAATTATAGAGAAAATTAAATTGAAGGATCAGGGTCTATCATCAATAGATTGCAAACTGATTATGCTAAACCAAGAATTTCTCATGAAAGTGAATTGGAGGTAAAGGAAAACATGCATTATATACTTGTTTGATTCGATATAAAAAAGAAGAGCTAAAACAAAAGTGAATAAAACAAGAAAATCAACAGATACACCAACAAGCAACAATTAAACCTAAGTCAGAATCAATTATTTATTGGAATAAGTTACGCTAGTTCCAGCATGGTAGGTTCATAGAATTTACCGGGGCAGAAAAGTACCTAATATCAAATGCTTGCATGAGCTGGCCTTGGTTATGAAATGGAATGACCTGAATTTTTTACACATATGATCATAAACACTGGGGCAATGGGGTGATAGAATCTGAGAAGTGTCCACATGGTCAGCAATACCGTGAATAATCCATCATACAGATGAAGTCCAATCAATCTGCAATCTGGGTCGACTATGCCAATCTATGAGAAGAGAAGGGATTGAAGCATGTAAACAAGCTACATAAGTTGCCAACAAAAACACTTGAAAGTTACCAGCACACGCTAGATTACCTGTCCATTGTCTGTGGGGCGACCAATAGCATTTGAAACATTCCCCCTAGCCCTATCCCACCCCAACAGAAAACAATAGAACTTTTAAAAAACTGTAGAATTAGATAGCGAAAACAACACCTATGGTATAGTTTTAACTCGTTAATTAAAGGCTAGTCTTATATTCATTTGGTTGCCCCAAAGCATATTGTTTCATGCAAACCCCTTTTGCTAACTGGGAGGAATGCTGATAAGGTCATGAAACCACATGGAAGTTTAGCAAAACCAGAAAATGTTATGAAATGGTCCGAAGTATTAAAAGATTAGTGCCATCAAACCCACAGAATAATGTATAAGATATATCAACCAATTTTTTGATAAACTAGGAGTAACCTTGTAATAAACTCAGCTTTCTCGGCATCCCATTGCAAGACACAGAATTCATATTTTTCTGTAGCCATGAAAAGGAGATCTCGAGTTTCCCCCTGTCACATCAATCAAAGATTAAGATATAATTTTTGTTTATTCATTGGGTGAGGTGCACGAAGACAAAAATAATCATACTACATATGGAAAGAAAAAGTATCAAAAAAAACATTAGTACCCACATGTGGGCGGAAAAACTGAAGTGCAGCAATTCTACCATATATTGGCACATCCAAAATGGGCTGAAAAATAAACCATAAAATGGAAATATGAGTTTACGGAACCCATTATAAAAATAAATTCAAGTTGAAACTCAGTTACTACCGTAGACTTGATTAAAGCTTCATCAGTTAACATCCGCTCACCAAAATATGGGAAAGGGGATTTTCTATACATTATGTGAGCCCCATATAAATTCTCAAGGAAGCTAGTTAAGTACAAAAAAGTTCTTAAAACTGACTGTCAATGAACTAAAACAGAGAATGTAAACTATCTTCTTCATAAATGTCTAATTTAACCATGAATACTTTACATGTAAACGGTGAGACGGCATGAGCGAATTAATCTCTACTCTGGTGCATTTCCTGCAAGTTCATCACAAACGCTGAATTAAAACTACATGTCAAACTGTGCAAATCGAAATTCTAGACTGCAAATACACATATGCTAAAGCTCCACAGAAATGGCGTAATAGCCATTATATGCACTAATTAAATCCATAACTGTACAGATACCAAAACTTACACGACGATGAGATTAAGCTCGTCCGGAGCAGTGAAATTCCCGACGCACGTATGAGTAACTCTCGTCGGCTTATGAGCCGTGGCCACATAATTCCATAAACTCATTTTTCTTTTGTTGCGCTTCCTAGGGTTTAGGCTGCGAGGGCAGAAGTTGGAGAAGTTGAGAGTTAGCAGGACTTTCAGTCTTTCAACAGGGACATAGCAGGACCAAGCTAGTAGTTGGGAATCAGGTACTTTAGAGCTCATCACAGTAGCTCAAATTATACTAAACATTCGAGCTTTTTTTTGTCGCTAATCTCATATGATTATTAATTACACAACGAAATCACCGAATAATTGAGCCATGAAACAAATTCATCCATGTCGAACGAATTCACGAAACCAAGCTAAAAATCAAGTAACATACATTTGAAAGTTGCGATGGAGGCGGGCCGGCGATGGACGGAGGCGAGAGATAGGGACGGAACAGAGACGGAGGCAGGGCGGCAACAGAAGCTTGCTGCTGGCCAGAGACGGAGAGGAGCGAGAGATAGGGACGGGACAATGATGGGGGTTGGCGATAGACGACTGACCAGGCCGCTATGGCGTGGGCATGCAGCTAAGACTACGTTTGACCCAATCCGACTCAATAATATAAAAAAATATATATACTACCTTCTATTTTTAATATATATCATTTTAAAAAGTTGCACACTAATTAAGAATATTTTTTTTGTCAATAATTACCTTATTTAATGAAGATAGAGATGAATATTTTGAGAAAAAGTGAATAGTGAATATGAAAAGACGAAATGTATTTATTGGCTAAATGAGGGTAATAATGGAAAAATATGTGCAAAAGATTCAAAATGACATTTATTTGACAAATAGTTGAAAAAACTAGAATGACAATTAAAAAAATAAGAGGGAGTATATTTTTTCTCTCTTCTACTTGCATAACCCGACCATTACAATTCAACACGGCTTTCTCGGGCAATTTATATATTTATTATTAAAAAAATAATAAGTGGACAAAAAACAAAAGAAAAAAGAGGGAGTGGACCAAAATAAAAATCACGTATTTATGAAATACGTTTTCTTTATAATATATTAAAAAAACGTATTCACTAAATACGTTTTTCATATTTTTTTTTACAAAGGAAAATGTATTCTGTGAATACGTTTTCCAAATAAATTTTTGAAAAACCGACAAAATACGGCCTTTTCATTTCATTCCACCCCTTTTTTCCTTTTTCCCTTTTTGTCCACCACTTAACTTTCTTTTTTTTCTTTTCGTAAAAAATTCCAGCTTTCTCCCCATGCCAAAACCAACCATACCCAACTAGGGATGTCAATGGGGAATTCCCCATCGGGTCCTGTCCCCTCATACCCGTCCCCGAGTTGGGGAAATCTCCCCCATGGGGATCCCCGAAACTGCTCATGGGGATGATTTTTCCCCCATACCCGACTCTGATGGGGAATCGGGTCCCCGTCGGGGCCCCATACCCGCGATTTTTTTTTTTTTTTTTTTTTGCTAATAAAATTACAACATACATTCACAATACATTCACATAATAGACGAGTACACATCAACATACATTCACATACCCGCGAAATATCCAAAAGCATGCCACTATTACAAGTTCATGGAAGAATTTCTCACGGGTAATTGGATATCGGGTCCCCATTGACATTTCTATTTCTTATGGGCTTTTTGTTGTGTAACCCCCACGGGTAATCGGGTTCGGGGGGAGGCTCCCCATACCCGCCTCCGCCAGACCCGATGGGGAGGGTTTTTCCCCCATTTAACCCCCCATGGGGACAAAAATCCCCCCATACCCGCCTCCTAATGGAAGAATTTCCCACAGGTAATCGGGTATCGGGTCCCCATTGACATCCCTATACCCAACAAATATTTATTTTAGTTTTATTTACTATTTATTAAATATTATCTACGACTGATTTTTTTATTGTTTTAGTTACGACTGATTTTTTTATTGTTTTAGTTGTGATAAATTAATTAAAAAATATATAATTAAAGTCATATTGATTTCAACAAAAAATTACTACAAGAAAATGATGAAATACTAATAGAAATTTCAACGAAAATTTATTACAACAGAATTTCAATGATAAGTTCTAACGAGTATTTCAATGTTATTACTTCTGTCTGAATTTTCTAATGAAAATTCTAACAAAAATAGTTCGTTAGAATCATGTGTAGACACCTTGTTTATTGGGTTAATTGCTAAATAAACCTTAACGTTTTTGTGTTTGGCAATTTTATCTCAATCTATGGGTAATTGCAATATAATCTCGACCTCAATTTACTTATTGCAAGTCGAACCGAAAAACTGATTGAACCTTAAAAAAACTGGTCGATTTGAAGGCGGTTCGAATAGATCGGAGCTCATATTTACCGGTTCACGCCAGATCTAGGAGGATACTCATTACCGGTAGCTTACATTAACGTGGAATTTTCGGCTTTGTGCGTGGATATACATTAAATACGTGAAAATTGTCAACTTGCTACGTAGATGACATAAAAACCCGTGTCAATAGAAGACTTGGACACAAATCGATCAACAAATCCCTAAAATCAACCACTCTGCACCCAAATTTGCAATAAGTAAATTGAAGTCGAGATTATATTGCAATTACCTAAAGATTGGGATAAAACTGTCAAACGCAAAAAAGTTAAGGTTTATTTAGCAATTAACCCTTGTTTATTTAATAGGCCCGACAAAAGCTTCATCGCTAAACATATAGCATAAGGTATCCAACAAAATTGTGAAAATATTTTTCATAATTTTAATCATGCCCCCTATTTTAGTAAATAAAATTAAAAGAAAGAAATGTACGTGATGAATTACATTACAACTTAATAGCGAAATGGACTTGACTTGGCCTTCGCTCGAACTAGTACACTTGAAAATGCCTTATTCCAACTCGGAGGCCTTCGAACTTACAAGACACCGGAAGGGGAGTTTTCTGGTGAACAGACTCCGATGCCCTAATCAGTAAAAAGATGAAGACGATGAACAATAATTTCGCATATAAAGTATGTGTTGAGCATATAATCTGTAAACTAACCTACCACACCCTTTTATATAGGGGTGTGGTGTCTTGCCCTCCAGATCTGCCCGAAGGGTTGACCCTGCACAAGTTGCCCGTCCGTACGACCTATAGTGTTTCGAGCCGTCAGACTTTGTCATGTGTGCAGAAGACTCGATCTTGTTGCAACACGTGGTCCAATCCTCATATGGTGTTATCCCCGAGTTAGATGCTTTTTTGTTTGGTCTGCAACCACGTCCATAATCATCATGTAGAACATTCATTAGGTGGTCGAGCTCGACGTGAGCTCATCTCATGGCTGGCTCCTTTTTTCGGAAGGTTATCGTCGCCCTAGGTATTGCCTTCATGTCGATCTTTGGTCACGACTCGAGCTGCCTTGTTAATCCGGTCTAGCTACTTGGTTTCATTGGTTCGATTGACCGGAATGGTATCCCATATCACAACTCAACCAATTATAATTTGACTTAGCTCATAACTTTATTGAAGAACATAAACATGATATCACAACTAAAGAAAATATGATAAATCTCAAAATTTACAATTTTATCCTCTAGTTCTAATTTTAATCTTTATTATAACTTATATTCTCTTTTTTGCAACATGTTTTTTCTCTAGCTTTATAATATATTTTATGTCTTTTAACAAATGTATGTGGAATTGTAGTTATATATTCATATATAATTTAGAAAAATTATCAATTATATTGTCAAGTCAACTATCCTACAACATAATTTTTTTTGTTAAACAAAAAATTAAAAATATATTTATATTGATGATTGTTATCATCCGACTCGGCAAGACGCTGTTAAGAGGTTTTGAGCATCCTATTAAACGCGATTAACAGTTAAACCGACGTGAATCAGAACGACACCGACCTACACCAAAGAACCGGTCTGAACCACCAAAGACCGAAGTGATCGACGATTACCGAGATCAACATCCACCGAGGACAACTTGAACCGAGGTCGTCACCTCCTTAAGCAGGTGACGAGGCATCTACGAGAGGCTCTCCTACTCCACAAGATCTGTCATCATTTACGTGGGGCCCCCTGCCTCGAACCGCCCATAAAAAGTTACTTTATTCAAAAAGTAGTACACGGATCCCAATGACTCAACCCAATACTACTATAAATAGCAGACCTATGACAATTGTAAGAGGATCTCTCTCAGTTTTTCTAAACATTACCGAACTGTAAACCCTTTACTACGTAACACGTAAAGGCCCATCACGGCTCTTCACCTCGGTTCACCTCGGACCGGGGCCATTGTTGATTCAACCTTACATGCTTTACGTTCAAATCATTCCAAATTACTCACTTAATCATATATTACATCGTTGTTAAGAATTACATAACGACAATGATTTTTTATGTTGAATTGAAAGCATTATGTTTTTTTTTTTTTT